ACCTGCTTTTTCTTTCAATTTTACCTTTGTGTTATCTTTCATCTGTTACTTCTCGTTCAATTATCATACTGTCCCCAATTTGTCAATTCCCTTTGTATAACATTTTCTTCTCTACTCCAAATGCTACCACCTCAGTACAGACTACTATTACCACCCAACTTGACAACTGCAAGAGCCCACCTTCATACTTTTACCCCTCCAATCTATCCTTTATACCACTACTCATAGACCTGCTTATGCCACAAATCTTCAGCAGGCACTTTAAAGTCATGTTAAATGAGAAAAGTTCAAACTTCTTTGCCTAGTCTTCTGCAACATGGCACCACTCTGCCTCCCATCTTAATCTGATATAAATCTCCTCTACATATTCTACACCAGTGGTGTTGATGGGGTGCTTGTACTCGGATCCCACTTCCAAGATCATATTTCTTCCTAGCCTCAGAAACACTATGACTGACGGTTTCCCTCCAGCCCAAGGACCCTATCTCTGGCAGTGACTCATGAGTGGGCCCAATGAGGCAAACTATGTCTCCCTGTTACAAGAACAAGCTGACCTCTGTAGAATTTCTTGTATGAACAGGCCTATCTTGTACCAGCAGAACGATCAAGTGCTGATGCCCACAGTTACTGCATACAATCCAGAGGTCAAGCTATAGATGTCCTGAAGCTATCTTGTTTCAGACATAACAGACCTAAAACACACCCCTTAGGAAACCCACCTCCCTGAGGCTTCTAGTAGTGAATGATGTAGTTGTCTGTTATCACCTAATTATTACACTTGCCACATAATCCACTACTTCATTCCTGTTAAGTTGCAAGTTCCCTAAAGAGCTCTGCCCACCAGGGCAGAATTCCTTAAGGACCTCTGCCCTTAGTATAGCATAAAAAATAAATCTTTGCCACCTTGACTTAAAGAATGCTTGAGTCTGTGAATTCATTCCAGACAACCCCGTCCTATACTCTGGTCTTTGAGGGTCTCTCAAACCGCGACAGTGTCAAACTCAAATAGAAATACTTAGAAAATCACAAATTACCATCATTTCTGTTGTACTGTATTTTTATTTATTTTGTTAAACATTTCCCGGCTTCTCCCCCTAGGAGTTTGATACCTCTGTTCTACACTTCAAATCAGAATATACTCTTTCCTTGTGATTTCTCAGCTTTATGCTTTTATTTATGACATTCTCTACTCATGAAATATCTTTTCTCCCTCAGCTTTATCTGTTGGAATTCCTAGTTACCCTTTAAAACTCACAAAACTCAACCTGTCATCTCCTCCATGAAATCTACCATGATTGCAAGGGAGGCAGAGAAAGTCAATAAAAGGATGATGGAGTTAGAAATAAAGGATCTGTTTTTTGAATCATGGCTGTACCACTTACTACGTATATGGCCTTAGACAAGTCACTTACTCCCTGTGGGCCTCAGTTTCTTCATCTGTAAAATAAGAGATTGGTCTAGATGGCATTTAAGATTCCTTCTAGCTGTAAATTTATGATATAATCCTATGATCTTTTTGATCAGTTCCAAGCTTTTCCCTTGGACTTCCTGAATCATTCTGTTCTGTACTTAATTATATAATATTTTATATTATCATTACCCAAATTTGTCTTAGCTCCATAAAAACAGTATAAGATCCATGAGTGCAGGTACCAGACTTTAGCTAAACATTTTAATCTGCACGTGTGCTTAGCATATGGTTCTGTACACAGTAGGTACTTAATAAATGTTTGTAGGTTCAGCTAGGTGGCACAGTGGATAGAGCACTAGCCCTGGAGTCAGGAGAACCTGAGTTCAAATCCAGCCTCAGACACTTGACACTTACCTAGCTGTGTGACCCTGGGCCAGTCACTTAGGCTCAACTGCCTCAGGAAAAAAAAAAGTTTGTTAAATTTCTGAATGAAAGAGACAAAACCTGGATAAATAACAGAGTTCTTGTCATATCATCCCCACACCAGCAAAACTTTTTGTGGTTTCCCATCACTGCCACACAATGATATCTCAAATCCTTGGCCAAGATACTTCACAATCTAGTTTTTTTTTTTTTGCAAAAAATGTGTGATTTTATTTAATCAGTTTTCATATTCTAGATACTTGAGGGATAGAGCATCACTCAGATCCTGTGTCCAATGGCCTTGGCAGGAAGATTGCTTCTGAACTTGGCTCGAACCATTCCACTATTTCCATGAACTCGAGTAACTTTTCCCTAGATGATTCTTGTTCTGTTTGGTTTCCCACCAGGAGTCACCATGTTGTTTTTGGCTTTGTACACATAAGCACATCTCTTGCCCAAACAGAATTCAGTTTCATCCTGAGCACAGACTCCTTCAATTTTCAGAAGAGCTGTATGTTCCCTCTGGTTTTGTAAGCCTTGCTTATAACCAGCAAAAATGCCCCTGGACCACAGTCTTCCGGACATTATGCTGTTCTAGAAGTCCTGTTTCCAGCAGGCCTCCCTGGCTCCAAGATGGAGGAAAAAGGAAGTACCCACAATCTAGTTCTGCTCCACCTTTCTAGTTTTATCTCATTACTTTTTATTTTTTTAAAAAATTTTTATTTTTAGGCAATTGGTGCCGAGTGACTTGCCCAGGGTCACACAGCTAGTAAGTGTCAAGTGTTTGGTCTGGGGCTGGATTTGAACTCAGGTCCTCCTGACTTCAGGGCCAGTGCTCTATCTACTGCATCACCTAGCTGCCCCTCATACTACTTTTTCATGTACACTATACTCTACTTAAATGATACTCAACATAAACCCAACTTGTCCTTCTCTTTCTTACCTTTGTACTTTTGTTTATGCCATCTACTACATCTGTAATACAATTTCCTCAACTTCTTATTATTGTAATTCTTCCTATCCTTGAAGGCTTGCCTCAGGTACCACTTCATCTATGAAGCCTTCTCTGACACTGTCCCCACACACCCATAGATGGAAGGAACCACTGCCTCCTCAGAACTCTCCTATTAAGTTACTAGATTTTAATTTGCATCTTCCCCCCTCCATGAGGCAATAGGGTTAAGTGACTTGCCCAAGGTCACACAGCTAGTAAGTGTTAAGTGTCTGAGGCTGGATTTGAACTCAGGTCCTCCTGACTCTAAGGCTGAAGCTCTATCCACTGCTCCACCGGGCTGCCCCGTAATTTGCATCTTAGTTATTTTTACATATTTAAACATTTTCTTTACTAGATTCTACACTCCTCAAAAGCAGGAATTTTGTCTTATAATAGGAATGCTGGTTGAATTGCTTATTAATGCTTTTATCTCAGAAAATGCCTATTGTAACATCCTATATAATCTAAAAATTATAATTTTAGGCATATAATTTATCATAAAAAGATATTAGTAATAGGGTATATTTCGGGACCAAAGCTTGTATACCTAAGTGAACATATAAAAGATCTGTTATTTTGTCAACACAGATTAAGTTCTAGTTTGGAAACTTCCTCCACTGAGCCAGAGTATAACATTTCTATGGCTTAGTAAAGAGTTTTGCGGAGTTGTGTAAGGCAGGCACAAAGATGGCAACTGACATAGCCAGGGTCATATATCTTATAAGTAGCTGAGATGGGATGTGAACTCAAGTTTTTCTGACTCTCCAAGCCTAGTACTCTGCCACACCATACTTCCTCTGATATTTAAAAGTATTGAGTTTTTACTGGTTACCAATTAATCTAAAGAATTCAAAATTCCCACAGGCATCTCAAACTCATTATGTCTAAAACAGAACTCATTATCTTTTCCCTTCAAACTCTACCCTCTTCCCAAATTCTCCATTACTGTAGAGGGTACCATCAATCTCTCCTGATTATTCAGGCTCAAAACCTTAGTGCCATCCTTCTCTCTCAAAATCACCCCACATATCCCCTCCCAAGTCTGCTTATTTCTACTTTCACAACATCTCTAGTATATGCCTCCTTCTCTCTATTCACACAGCCACCAGCTTGGTGTGGGCTCTTATCACCTCACATGTAGACTACTGAAATAGCCTTCTGGTTTTCTCTACCTCAAGTCTCACTCTATTATAGTCCATCCTCCATTTAGATGCCAAATCGATCTTCCTAAATCACAGGTCTGACTATGGCACCAGTCCCTTATTCATAAACTCTGGTGGCTCCCTATTTCCTCAAGGATGAAACATGAAAATACTGAGTTTGGCTTTTAAAACTCTTCACAACCTGGCTCCTTCCTATCCCTCCAGTCTTCTTTACACACTCTTATACACTATACAATCCAGCAACAATGGCCTTTGTGTTCATCAAACAGGCCATTCCATCTCCCATTTCCATTCTTTTCATTGCCTGTCTTCAATGACTAGAGTACTCTCCTTACTCACCTCCACTTACTGGCTTCCCCGACTTCCCTCAGGATTAGCTTAAATGCTACTTTCTATAAAAAGGCTTTTCCAGTCACTCTTCCTCCTATTACTAGACATATGTATGTATATATGCACGTGTGTCTCTCACACACATTTATATATTAACCCCTTGTTGCATGCTGCTTCTCTCATCAGAATGTAAACTTTTTGAGGGGAAGGACCATGTTTTTTACTTTCTTTGTATACCCAGTACTGAGTATAGTGCCTGGCACATAATAAATACTTAATAAATGTTTGTTGATTGATGGAAACTTTCACTTTATTCCATGTATTTTATTATTCGTGGGACTAACTGTAAAACCACAAAAATATTTATTTCATTGTACATATGACTTCAAATGCAAAATGCTAGGGCAAAGAACTTTCATTCATTAAAAAAAAGAAAAAGGTTTGATGTCCTAGCATTTTATATTTGAGTGATATAAGCAGTTTCATATGCAACCAACTAGTGAGCACTTAACTTCTCCATAATAAAATAAATGAAGATGAGAAATTTATTGCCAAGATAAACAAAGATTCTTACATGCTACTATTATTCAATTCAAATGATCTTTGGCTGAGCTTCAGTGAATGAACTTTAATTTTTTTCTAAAAAAATATAACTGTTGTGCTTATATCAAAAACTTACCCTCTAGTACAACTCCGGCAATTTCTCTCCCAACAGGAAAAAATTCCTTTTCCAGTTTCATTTCTGATAAAAGCTAAATCACAATAATAGTTAAGAACTTCCCTATCTGGAATAAATTCTAGTCTACTCCCTCAAAACTGAGGAAAGTAAATTTAAAAAATCATATTATAGAAAAATCACATATGGTCCCATTTTTAGAATTAAGGAGCTTCCATCCCAGATTAAGGCAACAGGAAATGATTCTACAACATGTTTTTATACAACAGAAAACAAAAATTTTAGAAGAAAATAAATCACTTTGCAAGGGCACAGAAAGGGATATTAATGCTTAAACAAGTTCCCTAAAAAAAAAAGAGCTTCATGAAATGTTTTGTTCAACATAGAATATCCTATCATATCTGAAGTCACACTTTAGGAGCACTTTCATTAAAAGTCACTAGGTCTCAGTATTCTCATAATTCTCATAGCAAATGTCTAACAAGGCTGTTATCAGGATCGGTTGAAACAATGTGTAAAGTGTTTGGCAAACTTTAGAGTAATAAAAATACCAGCTATTACTGTTATATTATTATTATCATTACTACTATTATCATTGCTTCTGTCAAATTGAAAGTTGAGGACTCAGAAGAGAAAGGCATATCTAAGAATGGAAGATGGATTCCGGGATAAAAACTTAAGCTACAGACATGACAAGCTCTTGGAAAGGCCCAAGAAAAGAAGTCATCAGAAGTCTTGTGAATCTAATCAAGAAAGGTTGAAAGAAAAAGTCACAGAGAAGGAAGGACCAAACTGTCTATATAGGCTGATAAGGCTGATATACAGAAGTTAGCAGGCTCAACATAGGCGGAAAAATAGCAGAAAAGACCAGACATTTGTGGGAGACAGCCCCTCAGAGGAAAACAAGTAATAAAACCAGTGGCCTCAGATATACAGAAATTCTGAAAGTACAGACAACAGGATGAACTTGAGATTCTAATACAAGATGGCAAATTTGATCTTCTAAGTATTACTAGGACTTATACTAATTACTCAAATTTTGGAAGAATATGCCTATTTCAAAGTGACAAAATTGGTGCAAGTGTAGGTAGAATAATGTTTATAACAAGAATATTTACTCATGGGACCCTAGGGGGAAAACATGGTGAAGAGCTTTGAGGTGATGTTCAACAGAGAAAAAGATGTGATACTATTAGAAGGTTATAAAAGAGACTAGCAGGGGGAATTAGATAAACAGTTTGAAAAACAGCACAAACTTGACACCAAAGCACAATACTGTAGTACCATGAGACTTTCAACTATCCAGAAATCTGTTGGCACTCTCTTGGTTTGCCAAAAGCAGAGCAGTTAATACATTTGAGATTTTATTATTTCAAAAGGTAGTGAAAGTGACAAAGGGAACTGCTGTTTCAGACCTGATTTGTCCAAACCAATAAGAAGAAATTGGTTGCTGAAAAAGAAATCCCAAGAAATCCTCCTAGAATTCATGATATGAGAATCAGTTTCAGGGGTGGGGAACCTGGGGCCTCAAGGTCCTCAAGTGTAGCCCTTTGACTGAATCCAAATTTCCCAGAACAAATCCTCTTAATAAAAGGATTTGTTTTGTAAAACTTGGATGTAATCAAAAGGCCACACGCACCCAGGGCCCTAGAAGGCTACGTGTTCCTCACCCTGAGGTAGGTGAAAGAACACTGGAAATGGAGTCAGAAAGACCTCAGCCTGTCTCAGACACTCCTAGCTGTGTGACTCTAGGGAAGTCACTTTCAGGTTCAGTTTCCTTATCTGCAAAAGGGGGATAATAATAGCATATATCTCATAAGGTGGTTGTGAGACAATATATGTAAAGTGACTTGCAAACTGAGAAGGAGCCAATGGACTAATCTTTTTCTGAAAAGTTGCTCCAATGGAGATAGAGAGCTCTCAATGTCAAATTCTTTTTTTTCTTTTTTTTGGCTATGCAATGGGGTTAAGTGACTTGCCCAGGGTCACATAGCTAGTGTTATATGTCTGAGGCTGGATTTGAACTCAGGTCCTCCTGAATCCAAGGCTGGTGCTCTATCCACTGTGCCACCTAGCTTCCCCCCAATGTCAAATTCTAAAAACACAAGTAGACATGCGTCTAATGAAAAGGAAAAGTGGGAGTTGCTTGGAGATGCAGCTGTAGATTTGCTGGAAATTCACTGCCAATTCAGAATTTTTACAAAAAATGTACAGAATATACAAATAACAGAGGAAGAATACAAATATGAAGCATGGTCCTATGAAGACAAATGTCAGGAATTGATAAAACCTAGGATGGGTCAAGCCTAGTGATAATACAAAAAACAACAAAAAGAGGGTTTTTAAGGCTTTACTAGGTAGAGGAAAACATTCACAGGGACAAGACACTACCAGGGGTAAATGGGATTATAATAGAATAGACAGTGAGAAGGGTAAACTATTCCAAGTCTTATTTTGTTCCTTCTTCTCTTCCAAAAGGAACATTCTTTGGCCTGGGAAGGATAGCAAAAATTATCAGCAGAGGAGTGGCAAACCCAAGGTATATGAAGAGATGGTCAGAGTACTTAGGTGCTCTCAATGAGTTCAAGCAACTCTTGAACTGGGTGAGGTAAACTACATCCTATACCTGTGGTCAGCATCATCATGGAAGAAGGTCTGTAGTAAAGTAGCCCAGATAATCTGTGCTTAGTCCAGTTTGTTCAACATTTTTACCAATGACTTAGATGAAGTCATAGATTTTTTTCCCCCATCCCTGCCTCTGCTGCTGGTGCCACCTCTAAATCTAACCACCACAGCCCATGACTATGACCCTAAAGTTATAGATAGGCCAATCAGCTCTTCATTCTCTGGGACAACACAGCTACATTTTCCTGTCACCCTTTTACTGTCCTTTTTTCCTCTTAGAACTGTAAGCAAATCAACAGTACCACTGCTTCTAGAAAGAATGTGTCAATGGATGGCCCTATTTCATTCACCATCTCAGGTGACTTCCCACATTAACACACCCTTCCCTGACGTGGGCTCCCCTTCTCCTATTTAAGCAGTTTCCACTTATTAAAATGTCTACTTGAGGACAGGGACTATCTTGATTTTGTATTTTTATCCCCAGATCTTAGCACGGCATTTGGAATACAGTAAGCCATTAATAAGTGGTTTTTTGTTCATTCATAGACATGCTGTCAAATTTGTACATTAAAGGAAGCTTGGTGAACTACATTTAGAAGACAGGGCTAGAACACAAGTTCTCAACAGACTAGAAAGTTAAACTGAGCCAGCCTGCCCAATTTAATGGGGACAAATGTCATGTTGCTGCTCTCTAAAATCAGATATGATGGGTACCTTCACTGTTAATATTCTTTCCTTCAAGTTAATTTATATATGTATATGTTGTATGCTTTACTAATAGTAGAATGTAAGCTTGTTGAGCATAAGGGCTATAATATTATTATTGTTGTTAGTCCCATTTTGTAGATGAAGAAACAGGCTGAGAGAAATTAAGTTTCTTGCCCAGTGTCACATGGCTAACTCAATATTTTAGGTTCCAAAAATACATAGCATTATATTAGTATGAGGGAAGGGGCATGGGAAAACAAGAGTTCCTATAAAAAAACATCTGGGGGTTTTAGTGAACTGAAAACTCAATATGAATGAAAAGTAGGACAGAGCAGCCAGAAAAAGTAACGCAGCTCAGGCTGACGCAGGAAAGGCATGAAGTCCAGCCAAGGCCCGTGAAGAGGCCGGGCCACATCAAGAACTACAAATTAGGAAAGACATGGACAAACTGGAAGATGACTAGAAGAAGAAAATAAGCATGTGGAGCCAAAGACTGGTTGAAGGGAACTTGAAGGGTTTAGATTAGCAGACAAAACTTGCCGGAACATGAGGCTGTCCTCCAGTATTTGAGGGGCTGTCAAGCTAAAGAATAAGGAGATGTGTTGGGTTTGGTTGGCCCTGGAAGGCAAGAGTAGGAAAGTGCCTAGAAGCTGTAGAGTCAATGTAAGGAAAGGGAGGGTGGAAGGCATTCATGTAAAGGCTCACCAGTCCCTGAAGCCTGCTGGAGATGTTCTTGTTAAGGAATAAGTTGGACCAGATGATTTTGATGTTCCTTCTGGTTCTCAGATTCTTTTAAGGAAGATGTCATTAAAGAAATGTCTTTTTTGGCACAAAATGAAATATGAGCAGGATTTCCTAAGTATTTCAAGGTCAATGAACAGCTAAGTCTTGTAGAGATTGTATGTGTGTGTGTGTGTGTGTGTGTGTGTGTATTTATACACACACACATAAAAATAAAATGGAGATGAAGATGCATTATGTGTCACATTTAAGGACCAATGACTGAAAATATCCCTAGCACAGAAGAACTATTAGTGAATTCATTAAGTTATTGTTTATACTTATACTGTATTTCTTAAGCTAATTTCTTACTTAAGAAATATGTCTTTATTAGAGGTACTTAGTAAATATGTAGTTTCAGTCTTCCACTTCAGAAAGGATTTATCAATTTCGAAGACAACAATTCTGATTAAGATAAAACACCTCAATTAAACAAACATATATTTAGCCATGACAACAAATGTGCACATTAATGAACATCAGTGAGCATGCTAGTTCTTATAGCTGAGCACAATAGCCAGATGTTGCTTTAAGGCAGGGGACTGCAAGTCTTTTGACTGTGGGCTGAGATTAGAAATCCTTTTTATTAGTAACACTGCTGGCATCTGTTAACTATTAAAAATATGGATTTTTAACAGTAACTAGAAAATCAGTTTTAAAAGTTTAAACTTTATTCATATATAAGCAGCCAGATTTATGAGCTAAGTGCTAACTGTTCATAATTCTGATAAAATTATCATAATACTGGTTTTTAACATATTACATCATTATCAAGATCTCTTGGAATGCACATCTCAATCAGGGCACATCTCAATTATGACTTTAGCTTTATCAATGATATAAATCTACTGATAATAAAAGAGAATGTACTTTCATAAAGTGAAGTGGATCCAAACATTGTCCAGAAATTTGGTCACACAGCCTGAAAATTTAGGTTTTAGGGCCTACCTGCCTAGAAGAATATATGTGCTAGCAAATGATGCAAAAATATTCTTGCTAAAAATACAGGTGAGCTACATTTGTCCTTTTGATAACACTTTCAATCTCAATGCTAAATGAAGATTTTATTTAAACTTTAGCAAAAAAAAAGGAATACCACATACCTTTGTATTTATCCAGCTTAGAGCACAAGCTTTCACTTGAAGTTTCACATAGTTATCCTTTATATCAGGAAGATTTTCCTATGCAAAGTTTATACAGAATAGCATAAGAATTGTTATATACAAGCTTTTCCTAAAGTTAGAAAAGTAAAGTCACTCATTAGTATGATCAAAAAGTGAATAGTAATTGCATTTGCTGGTAGAACTAATCCATATAAAATTTTAGACAATAATGTAGGCTCAAAAGATAATAACAAAATTTTACCTTGCAAATACAATTTTGGGGGAAGTTTTAAAAAGAGTATTCAGGTACTGACTCAGTATCGTAGGTAATAAAATCATGGTCACAAGTTCAATGACCCAATAATTTTTGTAAAAAATAAGGATTTAAAAAGATTAACCCTCAAAATTATGGAGAGAGCAAGGTCATGTACCATAAAAAAGGGTTTAAAGTTTATCTACCATCTCTGTAATGCAAAAGCAGTCTATTGAGATGTTCTTAAACTTTTAAGTAAAGTGCTTTTTAAAGTAACTCATTTGATGTCCTTTCCTTACCTAATGTTTCCCTTGGACTTTTTAATATGCTCAATTAAGTAAGACATAAGAAGTTAAACTTTGAGAGTTTGCCATCATGAATTCTCCATATTTCAGGCTGAATGTAATTTATACAACAACAAAAAACATTTCAAGTTTAGTTAGTTATTGGATACCTTCCTCATTTAATAATTATCATCAGAAATTTTAAAAAATTAGTCTAATTTTTTCTAGAACTGTTTATATATGCAAGTTAACCAAAACAAATATCTTTTTTATTAGTCTAACATGAATCCTAAAGCTTACTTTTTTTTTTGGTAAGGCAATCGGGGTTAAGTGACTTGCCCAGGGTCACATAGTTAGTGTCAAGTGTCTGAGGTCACATTTGAACTCAGGTCCTCCTGACTCCAAGGCCGGAGCTTTGTTCACTGCACCACCTAGCTGCCCTCTAAAGCTTATTTTTAAAAACCTTAAATTTAAAAAGTGTCATGTGTGCTTAGGAGGACATTTAGATCGATGGATATCACAAATTATATTACTATCCTGATTACATTAAATGCAGAACGAATGAGATTGTCAAAGGTTTAGAAGTGTAGTATTGAAAACAATAATACACATTTTCTACTATATGCTATACTATATACATATACATAAATACTATACTATACTATGTACATACACATAAATACATAATACCATATACACATACATAAACACATAACAGTATTTCTTGAAAAATATGAATATAACCTAGAGCCTTACAAATGCACAATTTACTGTACTGTAGAATTTTATACAAGGTGGAATCCACCTTGCAAACTGTTCAAAAAAAATACAAAATAGCTTAAAACTCCAAAATTCTAGTTTATTGAATATACTTGAAAAACCTTATCCTACCTAACATCTATAATGTGGTTCCAACATATGGTCCATTTGAATAATGTACAGTAGTGTTACAACAAAATGAATGCTATAACATACATTTGGTATGATCTACATATTTAAAAGGTAGTACTTCAAATGAGTAATATTTTAAATATAAAATTAAAGTAAAATAATTTGAGGAAGTGATTTTAAATAAAAGATATTTAATCTACTCCATGAGGAAACTGACCTATGATCAGAATATACTCCTTTAATCACTATAGAAGACCTACTATATACTATTACCATAGTAGTTTATTATGGTAGACTCAATATTGGACTAATAGATATAGAAAATTTCTTTTAAAAAAAGATCACTTGAAACATGTCTTAAAAATGCACAGAAAAAGAGAGAAGGAAGTTCAGCAGGAAACACAAAGGAGCAGGGCAACTTTGAAATAATGCTGCATTTATGTATACTTTTAAAAAAGCAAGCTGTATGCAAAAGTGATTCACAGTTCTATATATAAATCTTCTGTTGTACTCGATATAGAAATGATCATTTTTTATGTTTGTTAAATTCAGAATTAAAAAAGAAAATTTTTCTTTCTTTTCTTTTTTTTAGGCATTGGGGTTAAATGACTTGCCCAGGGTCACACAGCTAATAGTAAGTATCAAGTATCTAAGGCTGGATTTGAATTCAAGTCCTCCTGACTCCAGGGCCAGTGCTCTATCCACTGTGCCATGTAGCTGCCCCTTAAAAAAGAAAATTTAAAAAAGGAAAATCTTCCCATTTTCTATATAAGACTTTTCTCACCCTTTCCTGAAATACAAACGAAATTTCTTCTCCTGGTGAACTCTGCTGAAAGTACAAGCCTTTCATAGTGACCTGAAAAAAAAATTAGGTAAAAATAATATAAACCGCAAGGATATAATTGGCTTTAAAAATAGTTCTAAAACCCCCAAAATTTGAAGTTATAAATCATAAATGTCAATGAAGCCTTTGATTAGGAAAGCCTTTTTATCAATATGCCTTGTCACATAAATGTCACATTATTTATGGGGAGACCAGGTGATAAAATATTTTCAGATCAATATAATACATCAACACTCTGAGAAAAATCCAAACCAATTTCTATCAACAATGGGTCAGTGATAGCAACTTTTCCCCCCAAGAAACAGCAAGTGGCAGTAAAATAGCAGAATTGTTCATGCTCAAATAAACCCTGAGTTGTTTACTGAAGGAGTCAATGGGTATTACTGTTATAAGAAAACATAATTACTGTTAAGAAGAAAATCCTACCTTCCATTTTAAGAGCTCTGCACTTTTAACAGTGACCTCTGAGATTCTTAGGCCCACTATTAAATTCATTTGCTCTGATCAGGGCCTAGATATCTAATTCATCCACATAAAATGTAAAGTGCATTTTTTTAGATAAATATGGAAAGAAATCAATTTTTAAAAACTATGTTACTCTGAAGTTTTGCCTCATAACCAGCAAATTGGCAATGATGATAAAAGAGAAAAACAGTCAGTGATAGAGGGCATTATAATACACAGCTGGTGAAGCTGTGAACTAATGTAAGTGTTCTGGAAAGCAATTTGGAATTATGGTAAGAGTAAAAAAGGTCCACATTTTTTGAACCAGAGATCCTGCTCAGAGGCATATACTCAGAGGATGACAAAGACATAAAGAAAAGGCCCATATATATAAATATCCATAGGTGCGCTTTTTGTGGCAACAAAGAACTGGAAGAAATAAAGTAGATACCTATCTTTCAGAAAATAACGAAGTTGTGATGCACAAATATAATGAATATTACTTTAAGAAGCAACAAACAAAAAAAGAGAAGCATGTGAAGACATGAATTGATGTACAATAAAATATAACCAACAAAAACAATATACATGAATACTACAATGTAAATGGAAAGAAAAAAAATCAAATATTATGTAATTATAAAGTCCAAGCTTGGCCTTGGAAAACAATTGAAAAAACCAAATAAACCCATTTCCTTCCTCTCATTGCAAAAGGAAGGAAATATGAGGACAGGCTTCATGTGGGAAGTGGTTCTTGAGCTGAGTACTGAAGGAGGCTTGGGATCTTAAGGAATGGTGGTGACAAAGGAGGGCATTCTGGACATGGGGGCCACTAGTGCACAGGCATGGAAATGCAGATGATCCTGCTGTATGTGAGGAATGGCAAGAAAGCCAATTTGGCTGTAACAGAAAGAGTGGAAAAGGCTAAAATATGGGCAGGTTATTAAGGGTTTTAAATGCCAATAGAGGAGTATGCACTTTATTCAGGAGGCAACAGGGAAGGCCACTGGAGCTTACTGGGGAGGGAAATTAATATAGACAGATGAGTTTAAAGAAAATCATTTTGGCAGCTGTATGCAGGATAAGAGGCATCAGGCAGGGAGACCAATTAGAAGGCTATTAAAATACTCATATGATCATAGATTGAGACCTATAAAAGATCCAAAAGGCTCATTTTACAGGTGAGGAAATTGAGGCCCAGGGAGGTTATATGACTTGCCAGAAGTTGTACAAGTCAGTCACAGGTATGACTTGGAACTGGGTCCTCTGATTCCAAAGCCAATGCCTGAGCTCAGTTGGTGTCTATATGAGTAGAGGGAAGAGGGCAACAAGAAATGATATGCATATAGAAATGTAATATTAATAAGCAAGAAATAGTATGCAATAAAAGTACCCTCTGACAGACCAATCATCTTAGCAAAATTCTGAAATCACGGTAAGAACGAAAAGCCTAGGATCTTTTCCCTCTACCCAACCATATTTTTTGGTCTCAGTTCCTGTGGACTAGAGGTACAGAAAGAGCTAGCATTTTTAGACATGGCCAATGTAGTGACTTCTTTTACTTTAGTACATGTATCTGTTACAAAGGTGGACTTCTACTTGGAAGGTAGCTGTTGGGTCAGCAGAAACTGATGCGCAAAAAAGGAGCATAAATAAAAGTTTAAAATTTAAAAAAAAATTTTATATTATTTTTTGTTGCATTTTAAGTTCCAAAATGTCTCCCTCCCTCCTCACCCCACATAAGAGAAGACCATCATTTCTCTCTCACATACATACACACGTGTTTATATGTATACACGTATGTAACACTATGCATACTTCTTTTTATCAGTTCTCTGGAGGTGGATAGTATCTTTATTCATAGGTCCTTTGTAGTTGATCAGAGTATCTATAGTACTGAGAATAATTTAGTTGTTCACAGTTATTCCTCAAACAATATTGCCATCACTGTATACAATGTTCTTTTGCTCCTGCTCATTTCATGCTTCATTATTTCATGCAAGTCTCTTCATGTTTTTCTAAAATCAACCTGCCAACTTGTACAGACATCATTCAACTGATGGGCATCCCCTCAATTTCTAATCTTTTGCCATCACAAAGACAGATGCTAAAATACTTCAGAATATATAGGTTTTTTCCCCTTTTTCCCTGATCACCCTGAGAAACTGACCTAGTGTGATATTGCTGGGTGAAAGGGCAAACATAGTCTTTCATAACTCTTTGGGCTTAATTCCAGATTGTTCTCCAAAATGGTTGGATCAGTTCATAGTTTCAGTGTATTACCATCCCAATTTTTTCACATCCCTTCCTTCCAACATTTGTTACGTTTCCCCTTCTATCATTTTAGCCAATCTGGTAGGTGTGAGACGATATCACAAAGTTGTTCTAATGTGCATTTTTTTAATCAATAATGACTTGGAACATTTTTTATGTGACTATATGTAGCTTTGATTTTTTCCATTGAAAAATTGCATCTTCATATCTTTTGACCATTTATCAATAGGGGAATGACTCATATTCTTATAAATTTGAAAAAATCCTCTATAAATTTGAGATATGAGACCTTTACCTGAGAAACTGTTGATACTGCCCCCCTCGCAATTTTCTGCTTTCTAATATTGGCTACATTGATTTTATTTGTACAAAACCTCTTTAATTTGATATAATCAAAATTATCCATTTTATATCTCACAATGCTCTCTATCTTTTCTTTTTCAAAAATTCTTCTCTTATCCAGAAGTCTGACAGGTTAATATGTTCCATGTTCTTCTAATTTTCTTATATCTCCCTTCATATTTAGGTCCCATATCCATTTTGACCTTATCGTGGCAAATGATGTAAGATATTGGTTTATATTCATAAAACATTGGTCTATATCCAATATCTGCTAGACCACTTTCCATTTTTTCCCCAACAATTTTTATCAAACTGTGAATTCTTATCCTCAGATCTTAAATCTTAATTTAAGCCAAACACAAGATTATTATAAACATTTACTAATGTATATTGTATGTCTACTCTATTCCACTAATCCACCTTTCTATTTCTTAGCCAGTATCAGAGTTTTGACAATTACTGCCTTATAATATAGCTTAAGATATGTTATTGCTAAACCTCCTTTCTGCACATTTTCCCCCATTAATTCCTTTGATATTCTTGACCTTTTGTTCTTCCAAATGAATTTTATTATCTTTTTCTAGCTCAATAAAATAATTCTTTGGTAATTTAATTGGGATGGCATTGAACAAATAGATTAGTTTAGGTAGAATTGTCAATTTTATTATATTGGCTCTGGCTGCCTAGGAACAATCAATATTTCTCCAATTATTTAAATCTGATTTTATTTGTATAAAGAGTGTTTTATAATTATGTCCATGTAGTCCCTTGGGTTTGTCTTTGCAGGCATATGCCCAGGTATTTTATGCTAATTTAATTTATTAATGCAATGGTTTCCTTTCTTTTTTTTTTTTTTTTGGTGAGTCAACTGGGTTAAGTGACTTGCCCAGAGTCACACAGCTAGTGAGTGTTATGTGTCTGAGGCCGAATTTGAACTCGGATCCTCCTGACTCCAGGGCCAGTGCTCTACCCACTGTGCCACCTAGCTGCTCCCTAATGGTTTTCTTACACTCAATTTTATTAATCTTATCTTTAACTTTTAGGATTTCTGATTTGTTGTTTAACTGGGAATTTAAAATTTGTTCTTTTTCTATTTTTTAAAAATTGCATATCTAATTCATGGGTCTGGTCTTTCTCTGTTTTATTGATGTAAGCATTTAGAAATACAAATTTTCTTCTGATTACTGCTTTTGCTGCATCCCATAGGTTTTGTTATGTTGTCTCATTATTTTCATTCTCTTTAATAAAATTATTTATTGTTTCTATGACTTGTTCTTTAACTCACTCATACTTTAAGATTAGGTTATTTAGTCTCCAATTAAATTTAAATCTGTTTCCATGGTTTCTTATTAAATATAATTTTTACTGCATTATGACCTGAAAGTGATACATTTAATATTTCTGCTTTCCTGCATTAACCATAAAGTTTTTATGCTCTAACATATGGTTAACTTTTGTAAAGGTACCATGTACCACTGAGGTATATTCCTTCCCATTCCTATTCAATTTTCTCCAGATAGCTATCATATCTAGTTTATCTAAGAGTCTATTCATCTCCTTGACTTCTTTCTCATTTATTTTTTTCGTTAGATTTATCTAGTTCTTAGAGGGGAAGATTGAAGTCCCCCACCATTACAGTTTTGCTATCTACTTGCACCTGTAATTCATTTAGCTTTTCCTTAAAAAATGTGGATGCTATAGCATTTGGTGCATATAGGTTTAGTACTGATATTACTTAATTATCTATGGTACCTTTTATCGTAATGTAGTCTCTCTGTTTATCTCCTTTAATTAAATATATTTTAGCTTTAACTTTGTCTGAGATTGTTACTCCTGTCTTTTTTTTTTTTGCACTCGCTGAAGCATAACAAATTCTACTCCAGGTATTTATTTTTACTCTATGTGTATCTCTCATTTTAAAATTTGTTTCTTATAAACAACATATTGTTGGA